TTAATGCATGTTTCCCAATATTTACAGTTAATCATCCACAGATCTGATGCTTTTACTGTAGCAGCTGGGGGACAGCAGGGGGGAATATTAAATCTATGGCTATATTTAGATGTTTTTCCCTAGCTCATTGAAACTTTTACAATAGCTTTTCTGTTTATTTGATTTATGCCTCCCTTTGGCTTCCCTGCCATATTGTTTGGTGCTTTATGGCAGACTTAGGCCTTTCGTAGTGTATAGCTGCCTGTTTCTCCACGTATTCTATCTTGCAGGCGAGCCCCAAAGAGATCTCGTTTATTTTGTGCCTTAGAATGTGGTTTGCTGTGTTGACAGCATAATTTAAAGAAATATATGGATGGCTGAGAAATAATTTGCCGAAATTTGTCCAGATGTTTTTTAGATGTGATTGGAATTAGATTGCCCTTGTCTGCAGGGTCAAACAATAATAATGTCTCAGAACTTTAATTGCTCACAGACCCCACCTCCCACCTTTGATCTTTGAAGATGCAAATGTGTTATTATTTGGTGTGTAACTTCAACATTTCCATTTTTTATTTTTTACCGTCTTCATATTTCTAATGGTTCAGACTCACAAATAGGACTCTTTAAACTTTCACCATCACCTGCCATCACTTTCAAAATATCACAACTGAGCCATCGTATTATAATATAGCTTTATATATATAAAACATCATTTCATGCTGAGGTTACTATTTATATACAGTGCCTTTCTGTAAATCACTTTGCCCTGTATAGAAAGTGGATGTTGTAATCAATTGCCTTGCTCCATATTTCTAAATGTTTATATAATGGATGGATTATACTGGCATGCACCCATCTCACTGGCACACCTGTCACCTCAGTTTCTGCATTGCATCAATTTGTCAATTTTAATCAAATTTCTATAGTCAGCATAAATTGTTGAGTTTAGAAAATGTGACAAATTTACCCTACTTATTATTTTCTTTGGCACTGCACTTGTCTAATTGAAGTCTTGAACAACATGGAAGTGACCAGAGTGTTACCAGTGGGACGTTAATGAGCAGGCATGGCTAACATTCTGCCTGAATTTCCATATGCATCAGAACTAAGAGCGAGGTCAAAATAGTTGTGTATCCATTAGCCAATGGAACTTAACATTCCTGATAATTAGTACTTCATTTGCTACAGAAATTGGGGCCAAAATTGTTCTAAGGTTAATCAAATAAATTAAAATAAAACAAACTGGGGAATTGAATCCAACAATTAGATGGCCACTGGGTACCCACTTCTAGTCTTGATTATAGATTATATGTATACCTACAAATGTAAAGACAAACAGTAAGATATGATTTCCTTCAATTATGTTTTTCTGTTATATGGGTGTGTGCACATGCCCATTCATTCTATTTAGGGCTGATAGGTAGCTGTACAACAGTATGAATAAAATATGTATGTATATCTGTGATATCCCAGACCCTCAGTACATTTACTGACTTCAGTGAGAGATATAAATCAAATAAATAAATAATGTGGAAACAATTGTATTTCTCAGATATGCATGAATTACAACCTGCATAGCTTTCAGTGACAGATTGTATGTCTATTTAATACATTCATGAGAATAAAAGAAGCTCCTGCTTAAGCTTCTGCAGCCTTCCATTCTCATGTGATTCCAAATCCAGAAAAGTACACTGAAGGCATGACAGTTGTTATCTCTGGCATTATTGTTTTCCAACTCTCCTTATGAATAGATGATATTTACTGTTGAGCAAGGCAATACAGGATTCTTATTTATACATATATAAACTTTAATGAATGGAGCTTCTGTCTGTCATCTTAATGAGATCAGCACCTAGGACAACAAATCAAAGTTGTATGTATGGGATAGTCTAAAGATTTTGCTCTTGTTCTCACAAACATAAACAATTGTACCAGCTTAGACTGAAATTGAGGGATTGCATCATAGGTTGTTTCCCTTCAAAAAATTAATGCTCATAGATTTAATACCTTGTGAGACATAAGGCTGTGTTACAGTCCTCCCTAGTGTTCTGAGTACATGAAATTTCTTGTAATTAATTACATGAATGCTACCCATACTCTGTGCTACTGTAAATCAGATATAAGCTTGCCTCATATGATCTGTAAGTCTCAACTATGGATTACATTGGGCTTAAAAGTGGTTGCTTTAACCACAGTTTTGTACTCATGGTTGCTGGCTGGTTCAATTACTTTGGCCATGGCTGTTGGTGGTAAGAGACTGTTATCAACTTCTCTTTCTGGTCTTCAGATACACAGACAGAAGGAAGGAATAGATAGAAATGGGGCTGCTTTAGCAACAGTATCTCAGATCTTCCTGCTCTCACCCATCCCGGATACATGGGGTGGTAGACTTGGAACAGTGAGAGAGTTCAGGAAAGATCAGATTGGATCACCACAGTATTCTTTTTGTAATTACACAGAAGTCCCAGTGGGACAGTCACCACAAAGATTGCTGAATATTGGGTGGTAAAATGTGGCTGGCTATGGTTTGCTTTATTCTCTGGATTCCTCAGGTAAATCTCTTAAGCCTGGCTTGACATCTGTGATTCTGAGAGCTTTAAATCTCTGTGTAATCCTTGGTTAGGGCCATTCCTAGCACTCTTCTTAACACCAGTTCCTCAGCCACAGCTATTTTTCCCTTTGGAGGCATTTGCAGAATCTGACCATTTTGTCAGAATGACAAAATAGGAGTTATGACCAAGCTCCTCCCTTTAGGTCCATGCATGTGATATGCCAAAATGCTGTTTCATCACATCCTTGCCAACCCTGAACTTATCCAGCTGTACAATGTATTGTGCATCATTGTGCAATGCACAGTAAACAATAATAATACAGTGGTGGAGCTACTTATACTCCCACCACATCTCTCATTTCTCTTGCTGGCTAAATAATTTTTTTTTTTTTAAGTTTTGGCAAATAAGCCTACTGGCATGACAGTGCTGCCCAAATTGATGGTTCAGACACAGGATGTAATAGAAAGGAAAAATACCTGTTAGTTGTAGTCTAAGAATGGGTTTGTTTCATTTTGGGCCAGCAAGGTTTGTGAACCAAACCACTATAGTTCATGAACCATGATTTATGGCTTATCATATTGTGCAAACCCAGCCACTTGTAGCTTATTCAACTAATGATAGTTAAACAAGCTATGGAATGTGTAAACCCAGTCTGCCTTGGGTGATGGAACCACACGGCTGACATTGGGTTCCAAAACTAAGCATGGCCATGCTGGTTAGACCTTGGAGACTACCAGAGAATAATAGGGCTCCATACTAGCCTGGAAGTTAAAAAAACAGCCCAATAGAAGGCAATACCAAACCACTTCTGTACTGTTTCCAAGAAAACTGCATGTTTGTATCTGCATAGTCATCAGGAGTTGAGCTCAACTCGAAGGAGATTTTACTTCTTTCTTTAAACCCTATGCAGGTATGCTGATAAAAGAATTGTAGGCAAATGCCCAGCATACCTCTCTAGCCATTCTGTTATTTATTGGTAGACTTGAGCCAGTCAGCTTGTGGTACCTCTTTGACACTATCTATAGAAGATTCTGAAATGACTTTTCTCCTTACTACACAGTAGATTATAGCTACCAGATCTGAGCTGCAAAAATCCAGATGATCACTAGAAAGCAGCAGAGATACAGGATGCTCTAACTCTTTGCAGTTATCTAGTGGCTGTCCTGATTTTTACAGTCCAGATCTTTAATTAGCTTTCACTGTTCTGAATGTGAAGGATATTTGGAGTGAGGTACTTGGTCACACCATTGCTAGGTTTAATTGCAGTAACATTATTATTTTGATTAGATTTATATCCTGCCTTTATTTTGTACAACTCAAGACAGTATACATAACACTCTCACCTTCTGTTTTCCCTATGGCAACAACTCTCTAGGGTAGGTTAAGCTGATTTTTTTTCCTCCTTAAATGACAGAGGTTTGTGGTTGCAGAATACAATGATGCTTAAATTGCTATATTCATACTTCTGCACATATACTATCACTGTTATGTTGGGCAACCTTGAACAAATCTAGGCTCCTGCTCTATAAATGTGAAAACGTGCTACAATTTTGATCCGTTACTTTGAAAAAATGGCTTTACTTTCAAAGTGAGAATGTATAATGGCAACCATTGTAGAGTAGTGCCGTAATCACTGCATCCAATATATCAGATATTCATACAAACACACCTCCTTTATTCCTTCTCATATTTTCTTTTCAGTATGAATGGCTTATTTTCTCAATAAGATTTAGCCCCTTATAGGTATTTTTATATTATCTTACAGAAGATTTTTATATTATCTTATAGAAGATTTTTGGTCTCTTCTAACTCCAGCATCTTATTTTATTTTATTTTATTTTTTCAGTATGAGAAATCAGAGCATTCCTTCTCACAAGGGACCATTGTATGGATTTGCTGTAGAACTGAACATGAACTGTTTAACCAGAAGTTCCATCGATACATTAAAGTATTCTTGCAGGGCTATGAATTAAATGTTATTTGCATGATTAAAAAAAAAAAAAAACCTCTCAAGATTCACAAATTACACTGAAAAATGTGCAATTATTGGATAATTCAATCATATTTAAATGCGAAAAGTTATATTCAGTGTGATTATAAAAATAAGAAACAAATTCCTTAAGTTATATCAAATGGAATACAGTTGTCTACTAGCTCTGAAGAACCTGCTTCAGGTTCCTACTCTGCAGTGGCATTTGCTTGGTTTCTTTGTCATAATCTTTCAACCTGGGTGTTGTAAGGATGAAGCAGGACAAATTTCATATACTGAGTTCTCTGGAGGAAGAGCAAAACGCAAGTACGATGTTTAAAATAGAATACAAAAGGAATCTCCTCACCACATTGAAAGAGTGCTGTAATTGTTAGATTTTGATACTTTTTTTTTTCATTTCAAAATACTGATAGTGGTCCATCAGAGTTCTCTAATCCTGACCGATCTTGGCTCTTGTCATCTGCTTTCTTCATCTCCAGGCAAGTTTGTAAAGAATTTACCGATCTTTTGGCCCAAGACCGGACACCCATTGGCAATAGCCGACCAAGCCCCATCTTGGAGCCAGGGATCCAGAGCTGCTTGACTCACTTCAGTCTCATCACTCACGGCTTTGGGTCCCCGGCCATCTGTGCTGCCCTGACTGCTCTCCAGAATTACCTGACGGAAGCTCTCAAAGGCATGGACAAGATGTTCTTGAACAACAACTCTGCTAACAGGCACACTTCTGGGGAAGGACCAGGTAGTAAAACTGGAGACAAGGAAGAAAAGCACAGAAAATGAGAGAGAGAGAGAAAAGAAAGCACGCTAATGAAATTGGGGGGGAAACAGAAAGGAAAAGGAAAGATTGAGAGCAATCCTTTGGGAGGAAAAACATTTAATTTTAGCTTTAAAATATTGGATTGGGTTTTGGAAGAATTATGCTAGGTAGGTCACACCTGCAAATAATTTAAAAAAGAAAATAAGGTCAGAGGCGCACAGTGGAACAGGAAGAGTGGCTCAGTGGCTATGGCAAAGGAACTTTTGAAGATAACATCCAGGATTTTCCACTTCTGTCATCCCACAATCTTTTTTTAAATGATTTTTGGTGGGGATGAGATTATAACAGATAAAAGCAATCAATAATTTATTGGAAGAATCATTTTGATAATGTTGCTATGTTGGCCGAGGTACATAGTCTGTTTCTGTATTATTTTTTAAAATCTATCTAAGGTAGAAAGAAAAACCTAAGGGATGGATATATTTTATATTGGACTGTCCCGTTCAGAGCAAGGTTTTCTGATTTTGTGCAAAGTTTTGCTGTTCTCTCTCTGCGTGGTCTGAATAGCTATGCCTAAAATTTATCAGTAGCGTTTGGCCCATAGATTTCTTAATAATGGGAAGAAAGGGGGGGAAAAAAAACCAAATCTGAGTCTGTCTAAATTATGAGTCATTAAGAAGAATTACTAGTAACTACATGCAGAGGTGACGGGTTCAGGCTGTGAAAGTGTTAAAATGTAACTAACTACATGGATGAGTAAGTGGAAGAGCTAATGGATTATCATCAGGTGCCCCTGCTTATTCTGGATACCTAAAGTGTTAATCAAAAACTGCCCACATAGCATATTTAATCCTAAAACGTTGGGGCTGCAAATAGTCATTTTCTCTGTCTATAAGGATGTGTAGAATTTGTGCATATATATGCTCCATTAAAGTATTGGATTTGATCCAGACTTGGTCATATTTGGAGCAGACCCATTGCAATCAGAATTAGCCATAAATAACTGTAGGACTACTACTCAGCATGACAATGAGAATAAGCCCTTCATTTCATAATAAAATCTGCCTATCATGGAAGTAGACATTTTCATGAAGATGTACCTGTGAAAAAAAGTTGCGCAGGCATGCAACAACTGTGAACTGGAAAGGGAAAAGAAACATTTCTCTTTGTGGATGGATCTAAAGATCAGCATGCCTTTTCCTTTTAATTGCAACTTTTTTCATAAGTATTTGTTTTCTATGGAAGGCAAATGTTACTGCAGAAATGGCCCTGTGCCTGAAATTGGTAAGCTTTATTTCCTAGTCTGTTTGATAAAGATTTCTAATGTACACATGGAGCTCTCACCTGGAAGACTTCCGTTTACATTTCAATGAAATAACTTGTCCTATTGAAGGGGAGGGTTTACAGTGCCCCAAAAGAGGCACACATGAAAGTGTGTGCTACTAAAGTGAAAATCCACATATGTATGAGATTCATATATGCTTTGGAGTGCAGATAGGCCTCCTAGACAGTGTGATTAGGATGAAGGTATCAATCTGTTCATTCTTACTCTAAAATTTCAGTAATGACTGCCTCTCTTTAAAATGTTTCAGATCACAGACACACTCTTTGTTCTTTTAAAGAAATGTTAATAAGAATGTCTTTGATAAGTATGTTAAATCTTCTCAGGAGTATGCACCTTTTTAATTTTCTTCTGTTTCCCAAAGCTTTGCCCGCTTGGCTTATGAGCTTCTTCAAAGAGGACTAGAGCTCCGTACACATTTCATCAGGTACTGAGATGAAAATCCACAATTCTGACACTTTTCCTTTTCAAATCAAAGTCAGTTGTTTTGGAATTCTGCAGGTGTACTTCTTTAAAGAAGCTCAAAGGGAATAGATTAAGTAAGGCTTCACTAACTGAGCAAGTGATGCAGATTTAGAGGCAAATACTATGTCCTCCAATATATATAAAAAAAGAATTGGGTGGTGGGGCAATAGTGTTTGATGCACAGAGTAAAAGCAGTTTTGTTAAGTGTATCTCCTCTTTTAGAGAAGGTAATAAGAATCATGTCTCATTATTAAGTTAGTGTCTAATTTTAAGGAAATCTGTTTTCCCTGGTTATCAAAGGAGTGTTGCAAATCTTGACTTGGAAGACAAATAGTTGTCTTGGCCCTGGGGTGGAAGGGGAGGAATTGGCCACTTTCCAATAATTTGCAGTAATTGTGTTACTGTGTGTGCTTTTGAATTACATTTTTAAAATATTTAACCTCCTTTTTTGGAATACATAGGAAAAGGAATCATGCTTAAGTGCAAAATGAATGTCACCCTGCATGTTATCAGTTTGCAAAGGTTTTGTTGAATTGACAGTGGATTTCATGCATTTTGAAAGATTGTTTCCCTTTGTCATAACAGCTTGTGTCTATGCTTCATTTTGGCCTCACATACTGAATTCATTCTAGAAGATGAGAATAGGATAAAGATGTATTATGCCTGCCACCCTGATCCCAAACACATTATATGGCTGTAAGTTCCATTAATTTTGGTGGAATTTAATTCCACTTAAGGGAACATTGAAGGCTTGGGTCTATGGCTAATCATCCATGCATTTTACTGAACTCAACTTTTTATTTGAAATGCAGTTTTCAAATGCTATTTGCGTACTTGCAGTTTTCAGTAAAAGTTACATCATTTTATACAATATAAACTGGGAGCACATAGTACAGCAGTAATTAATGTTTCATTTGAAGCAACTGCACATATCATATGCCAGAGAGCTGCAGTCCTTTGCAGCATATACACATAAATGTATCAATGTGCAGATGCTTGAAATATGAAAATGTACATTCTTAATTTATCATTATCAGTACTATCTCCGTATAGGAAACTATACACTACAGGTGCTATGTTATGTGTTGTGCATTTAGAATTTGACCCTGTGATTCCTAATTTCCAACCAAGCCAATTAAGATGTACTTAAAGCCATTCTTTGAGTATCTTTACTTGTGTTATGAATTCAGCTTTTTCTTTGTTTTTAATGGAACATATTCCCAAACTCTTAAATAGGAGTATATTGTCTGTGGTCAATTTAAAGCACCATTCCTGAGTATATTTATCTAGGCAGGAAATTTCATCAATCTGTGGAACTTCCATATATAATGTCTAAAGACTAAAATTGCAGTTCTATTGACTTTAATAGGAATTGATTTAATGCCAGCTATTTTAGTTCAGTTGTGGGTGAAGCTTTAAATTCTGATCATCTGCCTAATTTCAGTGACATTTTAGAAGGAGAGATTAAGCATAGCATTCTACAATAGGATTGGGATCATGGCTATTGTAGAACTTGAAAAATATTAACTGAGTTCCTATATTATATTGATTCATTTTTAATTAGGATATAGTAAAAAAAAGTTATGAAGTCAAAAACATACTTTCCTTTATTTTTAGATACTGGATATCATCCTAGTGTAGGCATTCCGTTCTACTTGAAGAAAAAAATGCTTGAGTTCATGTTTGCTATTGAGTGCTACTGCTTTAAAAAAAGCTGCCCAATTTATCAAGGCAAATAAAAGGCTAAATGGTTAATGTATTAAATATTGTAGTGTAGTAGGAACTGTTCATAAGGGAAAAGATATGTCTTCATCAGGCAACACGGTCAAGTCAGAGCTACAGTTCCATCTACCCAGCCTGCTACATTTATTTTTCAGAGAATTGAGTATGTGTTTAACTTAGTTCTGTTAAAGCCAATGGACTTTAAATGTGCTTAATATTGACTGGATTACACAGCATACTTTTAAAATAACTTTATTTAGATAACATATTTGAAATTTGTATCTTGTTTATGTGTCTTGTCCATTCCAGCACTCACAAAGAAAGAAGAAAGGAAAGGCAGTGGACCTTTATGTTCATACTATTTTAGAGGATACTTTATGGGGCTTGAAATCAATTGCAGTATTGATTAGTTCTCCCTTTTCTCTGAATTTAAGCTTTCTTACAGAATTTTACAAATGTAGCAAGTTCCCTGTTGCAACATAAAAATAATTTACTGTTCATCCTGTTGATATGAACATGCAGGATCCAAACTGAGTTAACATTAAAAAGGCCCACTGAAGAAATATTCCATTACTTAAAATTCAACTGTTTGTGCCTAAGATACAGATTATCATTAAATTAAGCAAGACATTGAGGCCGAAGAATTGAAAAGTTGAACAGCTAATCAGGAGATATTTTGCCCTTAATGCACATACAACTGATCTGGGCATTCATTAGCCCAAAATGTATTTACTGCAATTCATTTATTGAACTGCAGATATGTCTGCCTTTTACTTTTAAATGTTGCTAAAGTTTGTGCATAACAGCCAAAAGAAACCTGTCTTGCTGTTTTAGAATAAAATATGCAAGGTTCTTTTGGGGTGGATAGGGAAAGACCAATTATTGTTTAGCTTTAAAGAGTAGGTGTCTGGAAGCATTATTTGATAAACGTGTCCCAGTTTCAGCTTGCTGATCCTCAAACTAATTTTGTGTATGCATATGGGTATCATAAAGACAGAAGGAAATAGAAAGAAATTCCAGTGGTTTTACTGGATAGGGTCTTCTGCCCCAATAACTTGTTAACTATTCCAGGAGAATATTCTTTCACAAGGGGTTTTTTTTTTTTTGGTATCACGAACAGATTCTGTGATCCTGCACAGCAGAATGCACAAATGGATTGAGCAGTACTGTCTACACACTGATGGCATCTTCATATTTTCAGAGATACATGTTTTGCAATCCAACCTTTACCATGCCAAGCCCTACTCTTTACTGAACTACGATTCTTCCCCCCATCTCTTATTTTTGGTAATTTTATTCCTCATCCCATCAGTGTTCCTAGAAGCTGATAATCTGAGCTTTCTACTTTTATTTTTTCTTTTCTTAAAGAGTTTTATAAATTACTCAAGTATAAGAAAATTGGCTGCCCATGCCACTGTTAATCACAGCTGCAGGACTCAACCTTTTCTTGAAGTATCGTATTAAAATAACAATCATCAATACATTCTTAGAAATAATTGATACCATCTTAATCTCATTCATGAATAAATCACATTGATCTGAGATTAATTTATGAGGCAGTAGTATCTTTGTAAAGTAAAAAAATAAAACCCTACAATATGTCTCACTTTTCTAACCCCTGTAAACCATATGGCATTTAAGCACTACCTATACATTTCCACTATTGATCTGTAGAGTAGCCTCATAAAGTCAGTGCATGGGAAAATATAAAAGTTTGTCTAATGTACTTTTCATGTACTGTATTCTCTGCTTAAAGGGCAGTATTGTATTACTGGAGGAATCATTTTGGCATCCCCATGGACTGCAGTTATAGAAAAAATGATCTTTGATTAAACTTCTTTAAAGTGGCTGGGGAAAACTGAATGTTTTGATTATATGGGGAAAACATAGTATTGTCATTTTAATCTATTAAATTTTCCCAATATTATTGCAGGATTGGGGGAGTAGGAATGAAGTTCTTGTCACAGCTGAGATCTAAAGAGGAAGAAACAAATTTTCAGTATCGTTAAAAGTAGCTCATAATATAATCCTTAGCAGAAGAAGCTATATGAAAATTCCTGTGTATCAAACTGCTATTAAAGAATCTAGTTGAAAAACTAGCATTCCTAGTTCTAGAGAGAACATTCTGTTGAAAAATGATGTAGTTCTGAAATTATGTACATACATTTGTGGCAGCTAGAAGCAGGTATCTACCACTGTTGGTTCTCTTGCCAACTATTTCTGTTCTTCAGTGAGGATGTGAAGTTTTCACACTACCTGGCACGTGATGCTTCACCTGCTGCACTTTACTGGCATTCTTGTTAAGGAGCCGTTAAAGGCACAAGATTTCTGACAGAAAAAGAAGATATAACCTGAATAACAAACCAGTGTTCAGACTTTTCGATTTTAGGGACTCTTGATCAGACAGTGGAGAAGGGGAATAAACAGAATTTAATATCTGCACTAGGTCATAGTCTGTGGTGGAATAGGTCCTCCCAGGCATAGAAGTAATATTAGGCTTTACCAAGGACTTTCCCAAAGTCATTTGGGATGAAGGAATTGCTTCCCTCTTTAACAAATCCAATTGTTAAATCAATCTGCTTCCATTATTAGGGAACCAAGATTGGCTGCAACTTGGTTATGTCACTCAGAAGCCATCCTGACTCTAAATTTGGTACACGTTGACAAATACTTTGCCAAACACTGCACCCAGGCTTTTTGTGCTTCCTGCACATCCGGCCCCAAAGTCTATGCTTGGAAATTGTTCTGCTTTGTCCAAATATTCTGTTATCTGTAGATAAATACACAAGCAGGTGGCATAGGAGAAGAGCTTTGTTTTAAACCCAAATAAGTGTTTAAAGGAGAGACCACTGGTATTTGTTCTGGAGCCAAACAGGTGTGCTGCCATGTGTACCCTTCAGGTAATTTGAAATGTTCCCTTACATGGCTCTCCAGTTCTGACAACTGCAATTAGCAGCATCCCTCACTGGCACTGCTGGCATGAGCTGATAGAGTGGTCAACTCTGTCTGTAGAGCCACAGGGTACTTACTCCCAGTAATCTTGTTTCTGATAGTTAACAGTCTGTTTTTCAGCTAAATGACGTAAGAAGAATTGATGCTATGAATAGCAGAGGTACTCGGCACCTGTTGTTTCTTCTGGCTGTCAGCAGCTTCATAGTTGCTTCCACATTCAACAGGTGCAACTTTTCCTGTTACTGTGTCCTGGGAAAAGCATAGGCTTGGTGGTTTGGCCAGTTTTGCAGTAGATAAAGACTCTGAGCTATGCAGTAATAGCAAGCACCATGCTAGAAACAAGTCCATTTGATCTCTAGAATCATTTAGAGAGGAAGGTTGCATTAGTCATGAGTATCTAAGCTCTGCATTTTAAGGAAAATTATTTGAAAGGGAATTTCTGGAATTTGGTTTAAGTGAAACTTTCTTTCATTTTAGGTTCATAGTATATTGGTGGACAAGTATGTGACAATTACAAACCTGAAGTAATCAGGCTTCCTTTAAAAGAAACCAGCAATCCTGAAGGAAGGACTGCTTGACTCTTTCCTTTTCAGATGGTTTCTCGCTTGAAATGGTCTCCTTTTGCTTTCTGCCCAAGCTCCCTGTTGCAATCAGTCCGAGTGAAGCAAAGCTCTGGATTCACAGCCTTCTCTTTTCAGCTTCTGGTTCAATCCATTCCTCCAGTTAGTTGAGTGAGTTCTCAGCAGTCTCCCAGAGGAAGGGGGCAATACACCACCCTTGAGATAGTAATGGAACCGCAATGGTGGGGAAGGACAATGGGACTGTAGCAATCTAAGACATTTCAGAGGGCAGGGGGATGAACTATCACCCAACCCTAAGCCCAACCCCATTGAAGAAAGCCCTGAATGATCACTGGTGATGCAAAGAATGGTGGATCTACTTGGGGAGAACAGTGAGTGTCTTCTGTAACATTTTAAAGACATACCCCCACTTTCTTATCGGTCCTTGCCCCCTCTTTTTTGCCCAATTAGCTGCTGAAATTTTCATTCAAAGAAAAGCTGCCAGAGTGATGGGGATGACCATCCACTGCTGGAACAAACTTGCTGCTGATTGGGCTTTAAGTCAATTACAGTTGCCTTGCTCTAGAGTCGCTTATTCGACCAAGGCGTGATTCCCACTCTCCCATTGGGTTTACCTCAGGGCATTTCCATGTATTATTAAAACCTTTGTCTTTGATTTCTTTTGCTGAGTAGTAATGGAAGTGGTGGGGTGGGGGATTCCTACAACCATATTGTTAAATCAAGTATGTAGCTGGCTGGAAAATCAACAATCACTACATGGCAGCAGAGCTACAGTGAACGCTTAGCTCTTTCTTCCATGTAGTCGTTGTCCAGATTTTTGGTACCTGGAAAGGGTGTCTCTAAAGGAGATTTCTCCTTATGATGATGATGATGATGATGGTGATGTCTTCAGCACTGAATGCCCTTTTTTGTGGGACAGCTCTGACTAAAATTTTCCACCCTTCTAAAAAGCAACTTATCTGCAATTAATAAATTAATGCTTTAATTGCACTGATGTATGTTCTCGGCCATATGTTTATTAAAATATATGTGTGAGTGTATGTTTTTCAGTATTGGTATTTGTTTTCTCCAATTTTCTATCATCTTATGTTTTTTAAAGCACGTTTAAAGTGAACAATCATGTGTCCTGGGAAAGGAAACACGGGTGGCTAAGAGCCTGGACGGTGTAACCCCTTGTGTGGCTCATGCCATTCTCTGAAACCCATTCTAGGAAAGTTAAACCCTTGTGCGCATCGAAGGGGATCTGTGCTCCCACAGTGAGTTTTTAAGAAGTGAGGCCTCAAAGAATAAAGCTAAAACAAGGCAAATTCCTATACAGGAAATAAGACTGGGAAATCAGTTACGTTCCCTTTTTAGGTCAACACAAACCTTATTTAAAACAGTAAAAACGATGCCTATTCTCCTTTGAATAGTCTTGCCGTAACAGTGGGAAAATTATCAACTGCTTTAGGGACTCTTCCAGAAAAGTAACGGGGTGGGTAAAAAAAATGGGAAAGGTATTCAGTGATGAGTTTGTATATATTTATTTATGCTTAATTTAACGGGATTGTGTAAATACAGCAAGCAAGTAGTTGGGGATTATTTATCTGTGACTATACCTCTGTGAATGGGTGGGGAATTTAAACCACGGGGAGGGTTGAGATCAAAAAGACAAAAAACAAAAAACAAGCGCTTGATACTAGATAGTACCCAGTCTGATTTTTTTTTCGTTCTTTATCGACAAACTGTTATGGTAATGGGTAGAACTTGGTTTCTTGTCCAGTGATGACCTGATTTACATAAATAAGAAGAATAAAAAGATTGTTGTGTTTTGTTGTATTTTCCTCTTCAGATTTTTCCCTATCTCTTTTTTAACAAAAAACCAAAACAAAACATTGGTGCTGCTTCAGTGCTGAAGATGGATTTACTTCTGCAGCCGAGAAAACAAACAAAACTTTCCCATTCTGGGCTTCTGGGAAATTCAGGACCTGGTTCTACGGTGAAAAAAAAAAAAAATAAACGTTGCTTCTCAGAAGTGTTTGGCCATTTGACTTTGTCTGAACTTGCTGACCGCCTCTCCCCCACCTAAGCAGACTCCCGTTTCCTTTTTTCTGACAAGGTCCTGCTTTCGCACCGCTGCCCAGGTGCATGATGCCCAAGACCAGGCGGGGAAACGATTGTCTGGGCTCCGAGCCCCACAGGCCTGTTGCCTTTCAGCAAAACTGGCTCCTTTTGTGAAACAACCGCTCTGAGTGTTGGGCTCTCGCTGCCGAAAGCGCAGATTGTTCCTCATGTCTTTATTTCGTGTAAGGGAAGGCATGCCCCCCCCAGGTGGGACCCAGACCGCATCCCCAAATGGCTACATGGTTGAACCTGTAAGCAGAATTATGAAAAACATGGAGAGTAGGGATATTAACTGGATTGAGTTAAAGACATGCATTTTGACTGCATTTAATTTTTGCCCCATCTATGGGAGTCTACTTGACCCCTATCACCTAAAGCCAGCTGGAGACCTCGGCGAGATCGTGTTAACAAACGTGTTGCCTTGCCTATGCTCCAGCAAGGGAACAAAACCTCTGGCCGAAAGGCGTGGGGGTGGGGCATGTTAGAGCCCAAACTTCAACCCTGTTTACCTCTTGTAAAGCCCAGCTTTGAATCAAAACGGGTAATGCAGGAGTAATTCCAACTGAGTTAAATCAGTTTTACTCGCAAGATAGGAGTTGTTTGGATTTTCTTTAGAGTAGACATGGATAGGATTGTGCACCCTGTTAGTGCAATCCTTTATCTGTCTTAGAATTTAGATGCGTGGACTCCAGTGCCAAGAGGCTGCAAACTTTCGTTTAGTAATCTCTTTTCCTTGGAGTGCAAATAAAAGATTTGAGTAGTAATGTTGGCTGCCTTTAGATTAACTCACCAATATTGCCAAGTGACACTATAAGAAATAATCTCGCTAATGGGAATGGCCTCTAAGTGAAATCCATACCTATTTCTACACAACTTTCCAGGTGGTATATGAATCTCATGAGTATATGATAAAATTATTACTAAATAGACATCCGCCAATGAGAATGATGCCCCAGTGTATTACTTTGCACTGAAATTAATAGTGCGGGCATATGGGTGTGAATAAGGTTGCACTCCTTCAAGAGAAAGAAGCCCAATTCAGCCCTAGGACTGTTGTTTGGTGGTTCAGTCGGATTATGCAGAGGGTTAAGTCCAAGCGCGCTGGAGCTGCCGCATCCGGATATCTGCCAAACCAAGCGCTTTGCATTTCAAGGTGAGGGCAAGTTAAAGGCAAAGACTGAAGGAAGCTTTCCGTTTTCATTTCAACGAAAAGGTTCATCTTAATCCTCCTCGCAGTTATCTTTTAATTTATTACTCAGTGTCCGAAATATCGGGGGAAGGGAGGGGGAATTCCTCAACTTAATTTGAAAGTGAACCAGAGGATTGGCATCATCTATTCTGATATCCTTGGAAAGAGCTAACAGTGCATTTTGTAACTACTTTAAAAGGCCCTTTGTGAACTATCAGGTAGAATCCTTTTTAAAGAAAAGAGAATGAAAATAATAACCAAGTAAAGGGCGAATTTTTGGAATGGCATAAATTTGCATTGGGCGCACACACGTTTTCGATTCTGAACAGAATAATACCCAAATATTTAAATGTCAGCATTTTTAATTCCCGTTCTGATGGGGTGGGGTGGGGAGAAACCAGAACATTTCACTGCTTTCCAATAGACTAGTTTTTGTACCAAATGAGCTTTCTGGGAAAGTCCATCTCACTCAAGAAGAGGTGCTTCCACACAGTCTTTCTGCCGGCATCCTCCTGAGATATTCAGCTACAACTACTTCCCATCATTCTTTGCCAGCATGGCCTATGATTAAGGATGATGGAAGATGTAGCCCAGCAATCTGGAGGATACTGTGCCAAAATGCATTCCTTCGCTCTTCCTTTCCTCGAATAATTCTGAACTCAATGTTGCAAATCAGCCTGTCCCAACCTGGTGTCCTCCAGCCATCATGGACTACAACTCTCACAATCCCCACCGATGAACTCCCTTCGGAGAGTTGAGGTCCAACACGGTTGGAGGGAACCATGTTAGTGGCACATTAGAACGCATTTCTCGAGGTCTAACGTTTTGTAGAGTCCGGGAAAGCCGATTCCTTCCTATGGATTAGTTTTTAAGCAGCTGGTTTGGTCCAGCTGCTACTTTCCCTCGGGAAATGGCCAAGGCGGGGAAGAGCAATGTCAACCTGAGGTTCCAAACCGAAGCAATGAAAACAAATCCCGTACAACTTCATAAAAAGAAGACTGCTCTTGTGACTGTGACAGAAAAATGTCTTTTAAGCTTGCAGCACAATAGCACCTCCTATTAGGCAGGGAGAAAATGCCTCTTTCCTGTGTGGGTTTTGCCATTGCAGTGAACAGAATAGGAGGATTGGAGTCAAAAGTACAGCAAAAAATGAAATGCCTTTTATTCAGAGCATCAAATGCCTTTAGAACGTGATCCTTGGCATAGTGACGTCATAAACTAGGGATTTATAGCGTTACCTGACAATCCTGTGGCAATATAAAGACCCCCTTCATTCCTAAAGGGGCACAGGGTTGATTGGGGGAGTCTAGAAGAGGCTTCAAGTCACTAGAGAGGAAATGGCCACAGCACTGAAGCAAGCACCAGAGATTGCAGTATGGATTGTTGAGACACTAAAACAGATGGCAGCAACTAGCTGAATGGGGCTCATCCCCAAAGCTAAGTAGGGTGGACCTGATTACTACTTAGATGGGAAACCACAAGACATCTCAGGGCTGTAGATTATACTGGGAAGTCGACCAAAAAATATCCCAGAAGCAGCAGCAAGAAACCACCTAAGTATTCCTGCCAATGGCCATGTTGCCAGGAGCTGAGTTCCAATCAAGAGAATTTTTACTTTTACTGGAAGAGTAGGCCTAGATGAGGCAGAGGCAGTTCAGATGTTTAAATAAGTAAAATGCAGCCTTGACTTATGACAGAATTGGGTCAACAGTTCACAATCTAAAAAAAGGCTCTGCTCTTAAGCCCTTCTAGTAAACCATTCAGCTTTTGTATTTGCCAGTAAATGCCCTCCTGTGTGGTGGCAGTGGGAGGCCTCTATCTAGCCAACTTTAATCCTGGCTCAAGCAGAATGAAGGACTGGTTTCCAAGGGGAACTTGGTCAGGATTACCTTTAGTGAAATTGGAGAATTTTAGGATTTGACTGTATAATGAGAATGAGAACAAAACGTTGATTTCCATGTTGACCATGATGTTCCATGTTCCCAGTGTTACAATCTTAAAGAAATTTACCCAGAAATAAGTCCCACTGAACTACATGGGGTTTGTTTCTGAGTAGGCATATACTAAACCGGGCAGTTATTTTCTCTGCTTTGAAGTGGCAATCTGGTCATTTTTCAGTGATAAAGCTTTGCCTTAATGTATATAGCTATAAGTAGCATTTTGTTCCTTGAAAACCTGAGGGAGAACTCTCCTCTTTTGGCTAAACTTGAACTCAGCTTTATAAAGCTTCCTTGTAAATAGTATCACTGAGTGACATAATGAACAGCCAGTTTGAAATAATTAGGAATTCTGCTTTCATTCTTTCACTGAGAAAATGCTTATTTTCTAAGATGTACATTCCATTGAAATCAATGACGTTTACTGCTTTGCTGATCTGTTTGCAATGAAGGCCAAAGATTGAAAGCTCGGATTCAGAGTGTGTTTATTTCATCACTGACTTCAGTGGAGTAAATCAATCCTCTACTGCTCTCCCCCAGTCACAGGCAAATGTGCAATATAACATATAATTTATATTTGAGTAGTCCCACTCAGTTCTATCTGACATGTCTTACAATGTATGCCTCTGGTGCATATCCTTATATTTATTATTATTATAAAAGACTTATTTGAAGAACTGTGTCAATCAAGCACTCTTAATTTCCATTGTTTTAAACAAGGGAAAAAGATAATGTGGTTTAATTCTTCCACTTCAGTCAAATTTTAATTTCTATTTTCATTATTCTCATTAGAAAAATAATCTGATCAAATAAGTTTTATTTATCACTGATTTTAAATAGTTCAGTTAAAAGACACCTTTTTTGAGATTATGAAAAAGTGTTGAATAAATTGCACTACACTGTAATCTAAGACAGTAGTGCTATGCAGACTTACTTGGAAGTAAACAGTTAATTGCTGGGATTTGTATGATGGTTAAACCACTATCATTAATAGGCTGAAATTAGGCTTAAACTTTAAAAATGTGTGCATCTCAACTCCATCCATTAAAATTCACTTTCACCAGCAAATTTTCTTTTCTCTTAGAAAAATTCCATTAAAGATATGTGGGGGACTATCAAATAAAACATTTTTAAATTACAAGCTGTTCTACCTTTGATATTATCTCTGCTCTACATCAGTTACAACCTTAGTGCTAACTCATAGATACATAGAGATAGAAAGGAACACAGAGATTCCCCTCTACCACATAAAGCTGCCTTCCCCAACAGGGTACACTCCAGATATTTTGGATTACAATTCCCAGCCATAATGATCTTGATTAGAGCTGAGTACAAAAGTGTTGGTTCATGCAGCCATCAAACCAGTACCTGATTATGGATGGCGATGAAATCCAGTTCAATTCCAATTCCCTTTGCAAGATAGAAGGGAAGGTGCACCCTCAATTTTCATCCTGCAGAGACTGGTTTCCAGGATTAGCATCCTCCTTTGCCTGCTTCTCCCAACGGTCTCCTCTTCTGGCTGAATCTGGGTATCTACCTAGAAATTAATTGTCCAGTTTAAACCTGCGAGACTTGGTATGGCCCAAATCGAAATGGCTGCAAACTTGGAAATCAACTTTTATGGAACCCAATGGGGGTTTTACTTCCATGTCAATATAGAAGGAGGGATAGAGACAGCAGGGAAGAGGAAAATTGAATAAAAGTCAGGACAAGAGGACACCTGAACTTGCCTGCATCTGATTTTAGAATATATAGTAAAAGAGCCAGTGATTGTTTCCTTACATTTTAAGAATTATTGCCTCTGATATGTAATCCTCTGCATCTCTGTGCAAAAGTGCTCTTTTTCCTGAGTAGAGTTACGGACTTGTTCCCCAAAGTTCTCTTCTGATTCCTGTGCTTTTGCAAGAAAGTTCCAGTAGAATTAACACTTGGTAAGAAGGTGGTTGGATCTTATATCCAGGTACAAGTCAATGGGACTTACTTAGAGATGTCGGGCTGTTAAGCATGACTCAAGCAGACTGGACTTCAACTCCCATAAATCTTAACCATCATGCCCAAAGCAAGGGCAAGCAACCTTAGATCCAGGACCCCACACAGCTCAACCTAAAAACCTGTTTCTTAAAGATTAAAACATCCTGGCTTTGACCTACTTTGCACAATCACCCACCCATACACCTTTCCCTGTGTCTTGTCACGTGCCCCCCCCCCCCCCACCAAGCACACACACAACTTGCCCATTGCTAAGAATCCTGGAGAATTTTGTTAGCTTTGTAAATAATGGTTTCTCTAGCAATTAACAGATGCAAGAAGCTGTCAGCGGAAGCCCTTTTGAAGTGTAAGCAGTGTGTTTAGAACTGGGGAAAAAGTGTTTGGGAAGTCCTTTAAATTGGGTGATGGTGTAATGGGTCTGACCTAACCTTCAAGAGCTCTTATGGAATGGTCCTGCTGTCATCAGATGGCTAACACTTCTTTACCAAAGGCAGGGCTTATGCATTGGAAGGCCTAACATTCTAAGTGTTTGAATTCTTCCTCTTTCTATAGTTAGGAACCACTGTCAGGATTGTTCCGTTTTCTGTTGTCTCCAAGAATAAACAATTTATTTACAAAAGCAAGAGAGCAATGCCTGTTTCTAATTGCCACAAATGGCTTGGTCTTTGAAAATTTCCACACTCGCCTAAAATGTTCCTTTGGGAGCTTGTGGTTTGCATTTGGATAGATACCTCTATGCCTCTCAAGGAAGCAAGCTGAAATATCTTATGACCCACTTTCTCCATACACCTTAAACCCAAGCATTTTCTCTTATCAGGATTGGGGATAAGCTTGCTAGAAAACTATTTCTGTAAGGAACTGAGGAGCAATCCAAAATTATTATTAATAATAATAAGATGAAACCAATGTAGATACCTCAAGTTACCAGCAAGATAGTTTAAGCTGATTTTTGGATTTTTACGTGCTTCCCTTTGATTTCAGAGAAGCAGCTGAAATCCCAGCTGGCACAGCCTGTAGTTCAGCCCACATTCTTTCCAGTTTGAATTACTTTTTTAAAAAAAATGTTTTTATAAGATTTTAACTGTTTCGTGTTTTATTGTTAGCCTCACAGAATACTCTATGGGCAGAAAGGGAGGGATATAGATGGATATAGATATTCTAAAAATAAAGAAATTGGTAGATTTCAGCCCACTTATAAATCTATTCTATTTGGTTTTGTGTCTAGGAGATGTAAATCTGACTGTAAAAATAACAATAACAACCAATACCTCTCTATCTTACAAATGAAATTATGCTAGCGATACTTGCTTCCTTGGGCAAATTTGCTAAGAAAAGGAAGCCATGTCTTGGCTGAAGTCCCACTGAGTGATTTTGGACTAATCAGTCTCCCTCAGTCCAAAAGGATTGTTGTTGTTGCTGGGAAAAAAGGAGGAGGGAGCACTAGGTATGCTGCCTGAGCTCCTAATCAAAATGTGGGATACAAATCTAACAAATAAATAATAAAAGAAAAGCCAGGAGAACAGCAACCAAGTATGGGATAGATGTTCGCTCTGCCCTTCAGATGACACTGGGATCATGGCATCACAGATTTACTTGCCTTCGAAGAAAAGTTAAATGTCAATAACTGCAATGGGACTGACTTTTGGGTCCAAATGTTTAGGAATCAGCAATAGTCAAGTATCCTTATTATTCATTTTAAACAAGCCAGCCAAAAGTATCCTTGATAAAAGGGGGTCCTGGGAACTGGGTGACCTGCTCAGAATCTCAGTGATCCTAACGGTGGGATCTCCCAAAGTTTTTACAACAGGAGGTGCAATAGAATTGTGGAAAACTCAGCAAATTGTGATACTGATAAATATAAGAAATAACCACATTATCAGGAACATCCAATACTCTGGAATAGCCTGGAAAGATTTCTCTACCGTAAATAAAATGTTCCTACTGCAATTATTATTTTCACTGCAGAGACATCGTCTAAGCTTCTAGATAGGTTTTGCATAATAATAAACAAGCAAAATATTTTTAAGTGAGAGGCAACTAACAGAAAGGGAGGCCTCCCTTTGCCTGCCCGATTTAAGGTAGCTGCCCTGCCCCGCAGAGATCCCAGCACAATAATCCTGTCTTTCGTTGGGCCCCAAAGACCTGGGAGGAAAGGGAGGTCCCATCCTATCTCTTGAGTTTTCTTTGCACACTGTAGTAGTGGGACCAGGGCTGGATTATCTATTGGACAGAAGGAGCCCAGGGCCTGCGAATTCCCAATAAGCCCGGAAAAATGTGCCTCCCACTCCGCGACTCAAAACTAAGGAAAGCAAGCAACCAAATCGAACTTAACTCGCTTTACTTGGATTCGTTTATAGCACCTTTTAATAACACAAAAGAATGAGGGGGGAGGGGAGGGTACATTGATGGGAGTGCCCAAGGCTTACAAAAGCTTGGAGCCGGCCTGGGCGGGAGCTCGAGGACCTTTCGCAAGAATTGCTGCAGCTCAGGAACAGTTGCGCCTCCTACACTCTCCAACCGTACCCGCGGAGTGAGGCGAAGCAGGGCGGCCTCACCCCTCGCCCGCGCTGGCACGAACTCCAAGGACGGACGCAGCCTCTCCCCTCCCTTCCGCCCCGCGCAACGGCAGTAGTCGGAGCAAGTCCTGACCTGGAAAGCCGGAGCTCGTCAGTTTATCCGGCGACCCGCCTTTCCTGCCGCAGCAGGCCGCGTCACCCGCCTCCATGGGGAGATGTGGGGCGGCGCCCTCGGGGTGGCAAGCCGCACCTTCCCGCTCCACCTAGCCCGGCTTGGACCGTTCCCGCGCGCGAGCGCCTTTCCTCGGCGCTGATTTGTAAAGCAACCTGCGGGCGTTGATTAGAAAAATCACCCCCGCTGCTGCTACTCATGGTCTGTCAGTGTGGTGTTTTCAGGGAAAGTTGACAAGGGTATGGCAGGAGGTTATCTTCCTTCTTGTCTTCCTGGCTCCTGCGCCACCAGCGCGGAGAAGCGCACCAACGCGGCAGTTGTACGCCAGCCTTGACTCTGGCCCACCGCGGATGCCCTGAGATTTTGAGCGTGCTTGCTGGGAATTGTAGTTTAAATACCCCCCTAAGGTTGGGAAGACTGCTATAGCCGCGAATTATTATTTAAATTTATATCCCTCCCTTCCCTTTCAATGAGACCAGGGCCTTAGAGCATTTACATCCCAGCGTCGCTGTAGTAAAATCAAAAACGAGAGGAAAAGATGCATCTAGCAGATTATTCTCCTTGGTCTAAAATAAAGTCAGAATCCAGCTCCAGGCTATTTTTTAGGTAGCTTGAGCCGAATTCAAACTCACAGCTGCTCCCGCCGCTTCTCCCACTCGTCCCCCATTGCTTGCTTTTTTACAGCACCTCCGTCCTCCGGCTCTCCGCGACTGGAAGCAAGGAATGCTTCAGGTGTTGCGCTTCCTATCTTTCTAATCAGGTGTGGTCTCGTCCACTGTTTACCTGCTGCTGCTGCTGCAGCCTGAAGCCTTTTAGGTTCACTTGGGGCGAGAAGAGCTTTTGAAATAAATCTAGCCTTCCCAAGAGCTTTTCCAGCGAAGGATGCCCCCCTCCCCGCCCCCGTGCGCTTTTTCCCAGATCTTTTTCTGCTCCGCAACGCCGTG